AAGAAAAGGAATAGGCGCATCTGGGTGCGATCGTTTTTGGCAAAGAGGACAAAATTTTCATTATGTAAAGAATTAGATGATATATTATTCAAAAACTTTACTAGAATGTCACGAACAGACTTTGAATTACTTTTGAATAAAGTAATTAGAAATTATTATTATTTAGACCTCTCGCTCTCCCCGCGGAAGCAAGACGGCAAGCCGCAAAACAAACAAGTGCGAATGAGACATATACAAAAATTGCTACGAATTTCCAAGTCCATTGGATATTCGTCAATTCGTATCTGCGACATTGAGCGATATGAAATATCTGGAGCAATTAGAAGCAATATCGCCGAAATAATTTATTGCAATTTATTGAAATTGCTCCATTAATTGCTCCAGATCGGTCCATTCGTCTCGCCGAGCAATTATTGCCCTCGTGTAAGCGCACCTTAAGGATTAAACATTTATTGGTTCTACTAAATAAGATCTACATAATATATACAGAATAACAAGGGACAACCATTGAAAAGCCAATAAAATTACTTAGAAAAGTTTTCTTGTATAATTATTATTTTTTAATCACTTTTCACTCGTATCTTTTGTGTACTAGATACTAATTTTGGTTCCACACATTCGAGAAATCAAAATCTAATATTGACAGTATAAACATTGACAAACATAGTATTTATTAAGTTCATATCATTTATGAGCTTAATTTTAAATTAATAAAATATCATAAAGTAGCTAGGTTTATCTTATATTTATTTTAAGTAGTATCTATAATTCTTGACCAGTATAGATGTTCTTGTATGAATACTAACTCATAACTCATTAGGCTGTGTGACGCCGGACGCGATTATGCTAACATCACTTTTGTGATAAAGATACTTATGTGACAGTCCGCATATTACGTGGTCATTTGTCACTTTGACAAATTTACTATACTTTACTAGATGTAGGATATTTGTTACCGTGATTACCACTCTTTTTAAGTGAGATTCAGATATTATAGACTTACCGCCAACACCAGTATGACAAAATCCATTACGTTTTTGACGGACGGGAGTGAGACTTAGTACTAAGTATCGTTTCTGTGACTTTTAGCGTAATCCAGCTGACAGTTTTAAGCATATAATTGACTTAATTACAATTGACTTGACCCGCCATCCAATAAAATAAAATGGAGAGGTAAAAATTACTTTATGAATGGAAACTTGAGAATTGGTATTTGAAAATAAATGGAAGCATTTGGAGTTATGAAATGGGCTGGTTTCACAAAAAAAAAGTTTTTTTCAAAATTTTATTATCTACTAACTACTTCTACAAACTAAACAATCACAGATCATTTTTAGGAGCTAGGTTGTGCTTTATGCTCGGGTGCTAATAACTTTAAACTTGACTAAAAATATCTATTTCGTATTGGATAGAATGATCACGGACATCCGTCACATCGAGCTACGAGTTATACCAATGCACTTGTGTCACACACTTTTCAAACATTATACTTTGATATTCCGATCTTATTTTTTATTTAGGCCGTTTCTCCACTGCTCCGGTCCGGCAAACGTTAATTACCGATCGGTTTAAAAACCCCACAACAGTCCTTCTTGCTTCCCCCCCTCCCCCGGCCCCGGGTTTTAAGGGCCCGAAATTTTTGGGGGGGAGGGGGGGGGTTTTTTTTCCCGGGGGGGGAGGGGGGGGTTATTTTTTTTTTTGGGTTTTTTTTTTTTGTGTGGGTTGGGTGGAGCAAAGTAAATTTTGTGTAATTAAAAAGTACCTGTTGCAGCTGTTTTTCTCCTGCATTTAAAAAAGTCTACTTTTTTGTTACACTTTAAATCAATTTAGAATAAATGGACGGTAGTTATTAAATTCATTTTTATTGGACATTTAACAACTGCTTTTGAAGTAGATAAGTCAAGTTAACAGATATCAGAATTAGGACTTCCTAGGTGGGATGTTAGTATGGAATAAGCGTTATGTACTTGCGACATGACTTAAGACTAAAAGTACAACATCAACTATTATGTTATTTTTTTACTTATAAAACTAAATCAATCTTAACAACAACTAAAGCACTTAAACGGCGATAGTCAAATTTTCAAATCGCAATAGTTCGCCTACTTACCAATAGATGGCGCAATTTGTCAATGATAATTTACTTAAACGCGCTTACAAAATACATTAATGTGTATAACCGTGACTTTTTAAAAATATATTAAAGCAATCAGACCCGAGGTTTCCCTGCCCGAGAATGGCCTATGTAATATCAAATATGTATGTGCTAAGGGATCAGAGATGTGACATTCTACATAAAAAATCGATTTTTTATTAATCGATTATTTTTTCACTATTTTTGTTGTCTTTTTAATTGTATGTAATCTTGTGATGCTGAATAAATTTATTTTACTTTTTAAATTATAGTGTTCCATTCAAACATGAGTTTTTGTAAAATTAACTGGTTTTATCATCCTTTCGATGTTTTACAAAAAAAACATCAATGCATCGAGTATATCAAATATCAATACATCTTGAAAGAATCGGATTCAATGTATCGCATCGTAAACAAACGATGTATATCAAATATCCCTAATAGTTCGAGGTCCGGGTTATAAAAGACCAGATATAATGTCGGGAGGTGGCAGGTGAAAAATCGACTATGATTGATTTTCAATTTTAAAAATAATCGATTATTTTAAATATAAAATCACGTAAAAAAATCGATTATTTTTTCACCACGGAGGCGGTGAAGAATCCCTAGTATGTACTTTGTTCACTCTAATGCGCTTCCGTCCTGCCCTTCAGGCGATTGACCGTCCTGCGACGGTCCGAGTCTCGCAGGAGACGCCCTAGTCAAGGGCTGATGAGCTTTACTCATTACGGAATACGGCCGAGCTACGGCTCGCTATAACAGCACAAGATGAGCTGTCTAGGAGTCCCTAATGGATTCTTTACGAGATATGACAATATTTTTATGAGAAAGTTACTATATGACATATTTTATTCAAGTTGAGTTGAAACATAGGGGTATGGCCCTTAAAGCCAACAGCGAGATTCATTTAAAAAAAGTCCGAGCTATTAACTATATTATTAGTTTAATTTTATTTAAGTTGTTCGAATAAAAATATGGAAACGTACTGTATTTAAACAGATAAATTAGACTGATTTAATTTATAAATGGGGGTAATATTTCGATATAATTACACAATAGAAAAGTTTACTATGTCAATGTATCGCTGAGATATTTCATAAGTCTATTAAATCATTTAAATTGTTTTGTAATACGATACAACGTAATATAATTTTGAATACGAAAATAATTTTACAAGTGCATTTAAATGAAAGTATTGCTTATATATTAAATTAGCACCTACATTTGTACTGTGATTCGTAACCACGTGTCACGAACTATTGAAACTCGAATTATATATCAAAATAGTCTGTGGCGATAGAGAAACGTCGTGATTAAAAGTCAATTAACAAAGTATGTTGACAACTATTACGTCATTATAGTTCGATAGTAAAAAAATGTGAATAAATAAAATGCCGCCGAAAACCATTACATTTAAATATTGATTTGTATGTAAACATTTGTACGCAGTAAATTTTGTATTAAAATTTGTGAGGTCTTCCTATGTACAGGACTAGACACTATTAGTTTTTAACTTAATAATATACACTAAACCCCCTTATAAAACGGTACTTATAACGCATTTTCATATTATGCAACTTTAGTCCCTCGTATAACACGGGTATTCCCCCATATAACGCGGGGATTTCTGTGAAGTATGTATATGGCATACAAGAAGAGTTGCCTTAGTAACTTGTTATAGAATTAGAGTTAATAAAAATTAGAAAAATATTGTATTTCGTAAAATAGTTATTCGTATTTAGTATTTTAATTTGAATAAAACAATTTAAACAGCTTCAGTAAAACCTCAAATTCTAATCCATCTCTATTATACATACATATTAAAACTTTAAAATTTCACACGTTATATTTCTGTACAATTTAAATCCCGTTTAACGAGAAAATTTAAACGTGAATCATTTGTAACGCGTATGGGGTCATACAAGCGCGTTATGCGATAATAATATAAATAATAATTCTTAAAACGCCGGCAACGCACTCGCGAGCCCTCTGGCATTGAGTGTCCATGGGCCGCGGTATCACTGACCGTCAGATAAGCTTCCTGCCCGTTTGCCCCCTGTTCTATAAAGAAAAAAAAAAAGTGTGTGTGTACAAAGTACACATGTCAGAAGTGAAACTTCAGTGGCAAACTAATCTTGAAGTGTTGTTCATATTTATACAAATCTAAAAGTTTAGATTTCCGATACTTAGAGGGACGGAAAAAGGAAGATATGTTAGGATTTTAATGAATTTAATTGTCATTAAAATATTATGTATCGAATATTAAATAATAAATAAAAAAAATTGTGCGTGTACTAGGTGTACACACGTAAGAAGTGAAACTTCTTTATGATCTTATTTTTCGAAAAATGATCTACTATATGCAACTTTACAGAAATTCGTTAAATTAGATAAAGTTTAACAAAAGGCTTTTATTATCATAGACATGAATACAAATATTTCATTTTACCTTATTACTACGAAGATTATTATAGAATTTCATTAATTGTAATATAATTATTACTATCATTGAAAAACGTGACGATTTGCTAAAAATTTCTCCCATACGTCGATAAAGAAGTTTCATTCCAACGCCGATAAAGAAGTTTGACTTCAAAAAGCAACATGGGGCGTAACCGAAAAATGTGACGCGTAACGAAAAAATGTTACACTAAATTTTTTTCCAACCTCGATAAAGAAGTTTCACTTCAAAATACTCCTACAAGACGTTTCCTATAACGCGGAACCAATCTACCATGTTATAGGAGGGATTACTGTACACTTATTATTAAAAAAATCAGAAAATAATCTTTGAGTTTTATATAAAATCAGCAAGTTTTCTTTTATCGTGGTTACGATTATTGTATGAAATTACACAACAAATATTCTAAGACTTATCAAGTCTCCCAAGACTGTCTAAATTACTATGATGCGAGTCTATTCTATTCATATTCGCTTTAATCTCGTTCCTCAAGTTGCCCTTTGGGACTTCATTCTCGATCCGACGCTCGCTTTCGAGAAGATCGTGAGAACCGTTAGTAGGGGTCGGTTTACTTGAGTCGTAAGAGAGATCGAAGTTTGAGACTGACTTAACCTTATCTGCTGCCTCGAGACCGTCGGACAGCGATTTTGATGTTGGGTTATCTAAAAATATAAAAGATTCTAATATTTATCTAATATTTTATTAATTATATTTAAAATTTTGGAAATAAATATAGCCTATGGGAACTTTCAATTATTACGTAACGAATTTTGGGGGTCCTTTTGTAAAACGATGTTTACTGTTTATTACTACTGTTTCTATGTTAGAAAATTACCTTTAAGTGAATCTCGTGTAAGTGGTGAAATTTCTCTATCACCTTTGTGGTCTTTGGGCATCGAGGCAGCGCGTGGGTTGAGCATTCCTAGTACCCTGTCAAATTATAATTTTCAAAGTTAAATCACGGTATTAAAAAATATCATTTTAGTTCTGGGCCTCAGATTTCTGTATGTGTCGTGATCATTTGTTTTTCTAAACCAAGTAGGTGATCTGTCTTTATTTTATTTTTATTTATTTATTAAAGTTTACCACATCATAGATAGGCATATTTTACAAAATCTTTCATCTAAAATAATACGCACATACAATTGAAGTAAACTTAAGTATTAAAAAAAAAAAAAAAATATATATATATACAAGATAAAATAAGCATATAATAAAGTTACCAGAAATTTTTGGTAAAGCAGAAAAAAAAAATAGTTTTGTGCCTGACACGGACTTTTTGGGTCTAAGGGCATGCGAATCCTCACGATGTCTTCCTTCACCGTACGAGCGAGTGTCAAATGCGCACATAGAAGGAGCATTTCGCACGTTAAGCATATTTTGTCATCTCTTGTATTCTCTTCTTCTTCTGGAAGGATAATTTTGATGGATACGGGATGCGGGGTTCAAACGCACAACCGCTGAGCTAATCTTTCGTGACAAAGTAGTGAATAGAGGGTAAATAAACTTTTTGGAGACTTTTTGGCGTCAGAAGACTTTTATTTCCAAATATTTATAAATAATATTTTTTTGCGAGTTACGGAGGAAAAATTATTGGATTTGCATTCCCTAATTGCCTCAAAATTAAAAAAAAAAGACTTTTAAAGTATTTTACATTTTAGTATTAGATTTTGTTTTAATCAAGAACTTTTATAACATACCTGGAGTTAGATAAGTCCCCAAAAGGTGTAAGGGGCGAGTGGATGTGGTGAGGCGTAGATGTCCCCGAGGTTGTGGCCACAGCCCATCCTTCGGCTATTAATGTTTCGCCTATGTCTACTGATCCTTCTGTGAAGTTCATTGCAATATTTTTATTATTCTAGTAGTAGTAGTAAAACTCAAATATATATTATTATTAAAATATCGAAAGTACCATCAGTGACATCATACAGCTTTATCCCTGGTATCTCCCTATCCAAGTCCCCGCGAAGCGTAGACGTACGCTTATACGTACACGTCTTTGATTGTAACGCCTTCCAACGTGCGACCTTTAAAACATTATACATAAAACATCTGTGTATTTAGATATCTCATGATTATTATTTATTTAAGTTAAGGATATATGTTTTGCTTTCTATATGTATGTGTACTGTTATTGCCTCAAAAATAATAGATAAATAACCTGGGAGAGTTCTTCAAATCGTTCGACGGCTTGTGGGTGCCATTTCGGATAGTCTCCAGGTTTCGGTTCCTCCTTCTCCATGGAAGCCGGTTTGACTCCCGCCAGGAAACATTCCATCGCCTGAAACGCGAGTATATTTTTTTATAAGAATATCTATAGTTTTAATCATTGTCAAACTTTTTTTTTCTCATAATATTACTCTCAAGTTTGGCAGCCATGTGTCAAGCATATCGTCGCTGTAGAATGATAACCTCGTATGTCCAGAGAAACAAACATTACAGGAAACGAAAAAAAATTCATGTAGTCAATGTTCGTTAAAATATTTTTATGTGCTTTTATCCATAGTTTTTGATGGTATTTATTAATAACATAATAAATTATTTATTACAACATAATTAAATTATTTATTAATAACATAAATAAGTCCTTTCTTCATGATTATACCAGTTAAATGACATAAGAGTTTAGAATAAAAAATGAATGATTTTTGACATATGAGTTTATCATTCTACAGTGACGATATAAGTTCCGGAAATATTCCATTTTCGTATCGAATAATTTCGCAACGTCACTATTTAGTACTTGTCATAACGTTGCAACACTGAAATTGTCAAATTTGGAATCGAATTAAAAGTTTTAGTATAGCTTAACACCGCACAATATATACGTCAAAATTTACATAAATAAAGGCTGTCAGTCTGTATGACTAAGAATGAAATAAAAATTCAAATTATAATACCTGAAAGCGTAGTCTAAGAAGATCAGCTCTCAGTTCACACAACTCGTGCGTTGCGACGTACTCACTATCTCCATAGTCCAAGTAAAACACGTCGGCTACCTGTCAAATTACGGCTTATTAGTTATTTTGTGTTATTAAAGAAACAAAATATAAAATAATGTGGTTTTAATTACTAATTAAATTCCATTCAAATTCATATGTTAATTTACACCTGATCGTTGTTTATCACTCGAGTGCCATCTAGGGGCCGTCTAATACATCAATAGTATATATAGGCGGTTATCGAAAGCTGGCGCGTTCACAGTACTCACACTAATGCAATTTCACTATACAGTATGTTTAAAAATATGACTTTTTTGCCAAGCTATATATTTTAGTCTACTCTGGTTTTAGTAAGGTTGGGTGGGTTGTAAATAAATAAAAATGTGTCAAATACATATAAATATTATGTGCATACGAGGGTGGATCCAAAAGTTCTAAGCCCGATCAAGAACGTAAAAGAGTAATTTGTGTAAATAATTTTTCATTTTTCGACATAAGCTCCACCTAGCTCAACACACTTCACTTTTACTTCACTAACTATTCTTTCAATACTCCTCTTAGAAACCCCAGTCGCATCTGATGTCAAATTAAATATAACATTTTTTCATTAAACTGTTTTTATTAAGATGCTTAAAATAATTAAAAACATTGTGCACCATTTCACGAGCTTGCCCAAAGATCAACATAAACAGTAGCAAAAGAAAAACAACAACTGTTTCTTTTATACTCATAAGCTTGACCGAGCGCGAGAGAGACGGACAGTCTTTTCATGATGCATATTCAGTTTGTCATCACGTCTCGCGCTTATTCACAGACACTACACAAGTACAAATTGTAAATGTGTTGAAGCCGCCAGCTTTAGATAACATACCTATACCACTCGAGTCTGTACGTCAAGCTCTACTCGTTTTTTATGTCATCTCGAAAAAAGTGCTCGACTAGAAGACATTTTTTTCCTCTTTTTATGGGCAGTATTTTGCAGCTTTTAAACGCTATTTTTTTTTAAATTTATCTCTAGTTCATTGAGTTTGAAATTATCGAGAGCCGACTGTATATTAACTTATACCTGTTGTGTGGCGTCGAATTCGTTCGGTCGAATATCATCGATGCGGGCTCTGTACCAACGACCATCATGACGAAACACCGCAGCCACCACTTGACCCACCGATACTGACTTTAACTGAAATTACACAATATCTAGTTGTAATAAATTTAACTTATAAACGATACAAGAAACTCTTACTAGCAACATTTAGGAGATTGTTCTTTAAGAAAAACATTAATTTAATATGCTTTTAAAAATCCAATGCCAATTTTGATTTTAATAAAGTCCTTTTAGTTAGAGTTAGTAACAATTCTGTCTTAGTTGCCATTTTAGTTTTGGTTAGCAAACAAAACAAGAAAAATCCCGTAGTGGGAGTAGCAGAGGCATGGATAGCATACACACCGATTTAATATATGCTCTCTCCTTTTCCCGAAGGTGTAGGCAGAGACATACCTTTCGCTTCATATATTTTCATGTCATTCACCACACATGCTCTTCGGTTATGATAAATATATAAATCCTTATAAAACGTGTACTTTTTACTTAAAAAAAAATCGAATTGAAAACCTCATCCTTCAGTTTTATTTCAGTCAGTTAAGAAACCCAAGTTTAATTATCTAATATATAAAATTCTCGTGTCACAATGTTCGTTCCCATACTCCTCCGAAACGGCTCAACCGATTCTCACGAAATTTTTTATGCATATTCTGTAAGTCTGAGAATCGGCTACTATCTATCTTTCAACCCCCTTAGTAATATAATACATAATAATTTGGGCTGGCCAGACCAAATTATTATTTTATTTTTTGTTTTTATTTTTTTATAATACAGCATACATAATATATACAACCCCTAATTTTACCCCTCTACGATCAACCCCTATTTTTTTTATCATAGATAGTTATTTATATTTGTATTGAATTAAAAATCGTTTCCTAGAAATAATATACATGGCAAAACAAACGTTTGCCGGGTTAGCTAGTTTATACATAAAAGAGTCGTAACCATGGTTACGGTACTATCTTTAGTCCATGTTTTAGACGTATCTTACCGCGTGAGCACTACGATTATCCTTATTGCTGTAGAATTCAGACATATGAGCGACCAAATCATCAAGTTGAGCGACTTGTGGACCGACGAATTGCACCCAAAATCGCGAAGGTGAAGAAATCGCTGACACGTACACTTCGATCGATGGACCAGGGGGTTCTGAAAGCAGAAGCAGAATGTTTTGTCACGTTTTCTTAACTACATGTGCACGAGAATGATAGAGACAAAACATATTACAGCTACTTGAAGCTTCAACTACCAGTTCGTATAAAAAAAAAAAACAAATCGTGCAGTGAGCAGTGCTGGCCTAGCGGCTTCAGCGTGCAACTCTCATGCCTGAGGTCGTAGGTTCGATCCCCGACTGTTAACCAATGGACTTTCTTTTTATGTGCGTATTTAACATTTGCTCGAACGGTGAAGGAAAACATCGTGAAAAAACCGACATGTCTTAGACCCAAGTCGACGGCTTGTGTCAGTCACAGGAGCCTGATCACCTAATTGCCTATTAGATTGACAAATGATCATGAAATAGATTCAGAAATCTGAGGCCAAGACCTAAAAAGGTTGTACGCGCCACTGATTTCTTTCTTTATAGCAGGGCACAATTTTAAGTGTTGTTGAAACCTTAAACTTTCTAGATTTGAGTTTATTCGCGTTTATGATTATGGAACTTAAAATGTCTACTTCCCGAAACCGATTTTCCATTAGAACGTAGACAATAACGCTATGAAAAACATTTTACCCACCGATCACGATCAACCAAAACACAATTCCCCCACACACAATAAAACCACCCTTAGCTAAAACGTGACGAAACAATTATTTACTATGATTTTTCTATCATAACCCAAATAGTTATCCCCAAACAACAGAAAGAACATCACAAATGAACCATTACCATCGCAGTGTTGAACTAAATAATACATGAGGACGACACAACACACAAAAATCTCATGCGGTGCCCGAAATTACCAAAATCAGGAGCAGAGAAGGGAGCAGGAGGCTAAGGCCACTTACAATTCCAGAAAACTAGTGCGTTGCCGTCCTTTTAACTGGTACGCTCTTTTCTTGATGGACTATAAATCGTGGTTTGGGAAATTTGACGGACAGCTGGTTCCACATAGTGTTGGCGCGCAAGAAAAAGTGTCTTAAGAAAAACTCAAGAGTATTTGGGTCTGTATTTATTAAGTTAAAATTGCAGGTTTTGACATGTGGCAAGTGGCATGTGGCAAGGCCTTAAGCTTAGGTTTCCTAGAAAAGCGGTGCCGTTAATAACGGCCGTCTTTACTTTATAACATAATCCAAAAAGACATCATTTTCGGTCGTTCAAGTCACGTTTCCACTCATTGTATTAATTAAATATGGGCACCGCTACACGCGAAAAACGTTGAACTAATGTTTATCACTGCTATGACGGCCATCATGCAAATGACAGCACCGTTATTGACGTTACGGCGACACTCAACGTTCTCTAGGAAACCTACTCCGATGTTATTTATAGACAACGTATGGGTGACGCCACCCAACGCTACATTACGGCCGTTAGATAACGGCACCGCTTTTCTAGGAAACCTAAGCTTTAGTACTATTAAACGCGAAACGTAACAAAACATGTTTAGGCTTTGATTTCTTTTGATTTGGCTTTCTTTGCAGTGGAAAAATGGAAAATCGCCAATATTTCTTACGTAAGGTGTATTTTAAAAGGCAGTTTTTGGAATCTTGGTTTAAGGGTATTTTTCTATACTACGACCATTATAAGCATGATTCTATCAATAATTATCATAAACTATAATCTGTAATATTTAATGCTTTCTGCGAGTTTATTAAAATAAAAGTATTCGTTTTTAGTTTCGTATTTATTTTCATTATAGTAAACTCCAATGACATTTAATATAATATTTAATATAAATATTAAAGTACTATTTTTCTAAGTCTTTTTTTTTTATGGCTCTGGCACGATTTGTGCATTAACCAGCGTCAAGTATAGGAATTTTTATAATTCGTGCTTGTCTTTAGAAATTCGACCGTGTCCTCCATGTACGGTTTAAGGCACTCGCCCGGTACCGCACAACCCTCCCAAAGGCCGAGAACAAATTAAAATTAATTTAAAACTTGCCCTCGAACCGGGAATCGAACCCGGTACCCCTTACCTAGCAGCCACTTAATAAGACCGCTAGGCTATGAGGCCCCCTCTAAGTCTTTTATATTGCTTTTTTGTGAGTGCCACATTATATCGAGACTATTTTGTAGATAATGTATAAAAATTGCCTTACTTTTAATTTTATAACGGCAACCATATTGCCTTGTATTAACGTGTATTTTATGGATCTGCTGGACACAAAAGCATGCTGTTATCTTACCAGGCGTCTTATAGCGGACATGCTTGGCGGGTGTGCGTTCACCTGTTTCGGGCGTGGCCAGGGGAGCTGGACTGACGAGGGGCAAACGGGGACGTTTGGCTTGCTCCACCTCGCGTCTACACTTCTCTTGGGCCACCTGTAAATGTCGTATAGAGGACCTTAGGCCAAACGTTCTTTGCGACGAGCGTGATTTCTCTGTACAGTTATTATTCAAGAAAATTTTGAATATGGTAATCTCAGGGTTGATTCGAATTTCTAGTCGATGGTTACCTTCTGTCAGCAAATAATGCTTAAGAAGGGGTCTACAGGAAGAGAGAGATGGAGAGCGCAGGATAAGAACCCTTTTCAGAGTTGGAAGGAGAGGGGAGATGAGAAGTTACGCCCGTCTCGTGCCTTATTACGTACACCCCCCCCCCTCATCCTCCTCCTTTTGTCAGTAAAAGTAAGCAAAGCTCTTTAAAATAATAGTACATACATAAACATTAATTTTTAGTAGGGATCCTCGAAAATGCATTCAAGTGTGTGTAATATGTGTAAAAAAGTAAATTATTACTGTTGGCGTAATCACCAAATAAGAAAATCAAAGACTAATTTATGTATATTACATAGGGGAGCCTAGCCATTTGAGAAAGGCTAAAGTGGTGCACGGTACAAAAAACTTTGGGAAACACTGCTTTGGACGATAGAACATCATGCTACGATTGAATGAATGCGGGTGGAACCGCAGTATACAGCTGCTCATTAATAGCGTTTCTCAACCATTTATGTCGCGACCCACGAAAAAGACAAAAAGCTAAGTATAATAAGATGTACATAGCGCGCTAGTTTTAACGAATATTTTGTATTTATTATTTTTCAACAGACTTCGACCCTCTTTTATAACTCTAAATGACCTCCTCCCCCCCGAACCCCGCTTGAAACGATGTTCTAAACCAGAGTTCCCCAAACTTTTTTGTGTCGTAGACCCCTTGCCATGTTTTTCCGTGTTGAGTAGACCCCCTACTTACCTGATATTGATTTCCTGTAAATTTCTAACTGTAGTGAAGTTTAGTTTTAAAAACATAAAGTAAAAACACATGTTAATTTATACATTTATTAATTGAATTTAAATTAAAACTACTCAAAAAAAATTTTGTATTATGCATTTAATAAATAAATTAAATTAGTCAATATAATGTATATGTTTTGATATTATAAGATAGTATGATGTAAGTAAATATGTGCTATCAGTGTATGTGTTGAGATCCACTATCGTGGACCCCCATTTTCATTTCATGGCCGCCAATTTTTTTTTCCCTTGCAGTTTGTCATAGACCCCTCAGGGGTCATAGACCCCTCAGGGGTCGATATAGACCACTTTGGGAATCACTGTTCTAAACTCTACTCTAGTCATAGAGCAGGCAATACTTACGATGGTATCAACAAGTTTCTTAGCCTTCTCAATTTGTTCTTTGGAGCCTTTAAACGATATCTTTCGTGGTTCGTTGGTGTTCCCACCTGGTGAAGACTCCACTTTCACTTTTGCGCCACTTGTATGGCTTATTTGGTTTATATGTTCACCACCAGTGCCTGAAAAATTACATTGAAAGGTTTATTTAAAACACTTTGTAGTATGCCCGAGAAAGAAGAACCAGTGGGGCTACCCTTGGTTTTGGCATCAGATCGCGTTATATGTCGTGAATTTTTCTTTTAGTAGGGGGTCAGGCATCTGTGCCTGACAGGTGTGCCCGACAGGTGTGCCCAGTGCCGATCGTGGCTCGAAGTGCCGATGTTTTCTTTCACCGTAAGAGCGAGTGCTAAATGCGCACAAAGTAAAGTTTGGTGAATACCCGGAACCGGTACCCGGTTCGAACCAACGACCTCATATGACAGTGACACGCTTAAGCTTTATTACTTACAATTGTCTTACGAAAATACTGATAATAAGAGGGTTCAATTGCATAAATATGGTTTCTTTTAAACATACTTTCCTATACGAGGTATTTTTATTGTTATTTGTTTTCTTTTATTTTAGATTTTACTATTTGTGTCGGTTTTCATTGGACAATTTTATCAATTTTGTTTAGTCGCAACTTATGTATGTACACGTTTGGTGTTAATTTCTGTGTAACGTTCAAGTATTACATAAGCAGATTTAATGCAATGTATTCCCCCCCCTCCTCTTGTCAGCAAAACAATTGACAATTCATAAGTGTACTTGTTTACCTACATGAATAAAGTTATTTTGAGTTTGAGTTTGAAAACGTAAGCAAAGCTCTCAAAAATTATTTGCTGTAGGAATCCTCGAAAATTAAATAATTACTATTGAAGTAATCACCAAATAAGAAAAAAAGACTCAAAGACTTACCCCCCCCCATAGTGCTCACGTAATACTTGAGCGGCCCCTGACACGAAGTCAACAATAATAATACATTCTATTCAAATTGATAACAAATTAATTTACCAATAATTCTGCCGACAGTCCACCCAGGGACCTCCATTGAATCAGCAACAATAATCGGTTGCTGTTTAATGAAGTCATGTATCATCGTTTCGGCAAGTTGTGTTGCACTGCTCCGTCCACGAATTATACATACATCGTAATCTTTGTCACTAAACTTCTTAAAATGCGTAAGCGCACCGGACTTCTGTTCGATTTCCTTTATATTAGAGCCATTGCGACCTACAAATATCAAATAAAACTTATAATTGAAAGTTGGAAGAAAAAATTATATTTAAAGGCATTTCAACTTTTGAATTTGGAAGTTCAGAAATTAATCAAAAGTATAAATGGCCAGATAAGTTAATTAAATAACTTAATTAAACTTAACCTTAATTTGATTTCCTTACATATATAAAAGAGAGGCAGGAGTTTATTGCCAGTTCTTCTCTTCCGTTCTACACCCTTGATTTGAGAATTGGCAGTAAATGTAAAATTAAAAGCATTTCATACATATTTATTTTTTCACGTTCATAAGTGTACATTGTGTTACCTATATGAATAAATGATTGTGAATTTTGATTATGTACAAACATTCGGGCTAATATAAACATAGCTTCAGAATACAATGTTCATGGCAGATAACCTTTTGGTACTAGGATCGATTATCGGAAGAGAATTTCCTGTCTATAAAAATAATTATTAATAAAACCGAAGCGGGAAAGTCTCCATGGGTGATTGAGTAATGAGTATATTGGACTTGAAAAATATTTATACCGTATACATTAACAACCATGAATATGGAATAGGATTAATGTAGAAGCATTAAGTACAAACCTTGAAACTAGGTTACATAATCATACTTCATAGTCATACTTAAGTATGGTAAATGTCAAATTAACAGCTCTTATATAAAATTCACCTGAAGGTCTTTGAGATTCCTAGGAAAAAATTCCCATTGACAATTAACAACAATCAATGTCATCAACATGCTTTATAAATGCAAAGCTCTGACCACATAATAATAATTTTAATAGTTGGTTGGTAATTCCTTACATGTAAAAACACTTAATATCAATGCCATAAAAATATTGTGTTACTTAGTTTTCCTTATTTGTCGAAAGGTGGACTGATTAGTTTCCAATTTTTTAAAAGAACTGAAGGTTAAATGTAATGAAATATTTTAGTAAATAGAAGTTTTAAGTTACATGACATGACATGCAAGGCTAATATGTATTCAAATATTTAGGAGTATCCTTGAACATAATATACTAACTCAACAATGTGTTTAAGATACTGATTGTTAATATTCACCTATGTGAGTAAACATATGTAAATATTGGTCATAAATACTTTTAATATAATACGAAAAAATGCATATTAATATAGAAATTATTTATACTAGTACTTTCTCAATGCCAGATAATAAACTATTAGCATTAAGTATATATTTTCAGAATCTTTGTGGTAAAAAAACATTTTCCCGGCAATAATTACAGTTTATTTTATATACCATTTTCTATATAATACACATGCAGAAGTTGGTAGAACTTGAATGTAATAAACAGCTAGGATTTTAATCCTGTCACAAATATTCCCAATAAGACACAGTGGAGTGGAATTATTTAATATATATATATATAGATAACAAAAATAGGAATTGTAGATATATGTACTTACCAATTAAAGCAGGAATAATGCTTTTGGGGACCTGCAATTCAATTACATTGACTCTTGATGTTTTTACAGTTTTGTCACCTTCCTCTTCTTTTTTAAAGACATAATAGACCACAAATGCTGTCACAGTTACAATTGAAAAACCTAATGCTACAGGTAGCATCAATTTTGTGTTGAATGTCATTATGGAACCCTGCAAAAAATAATTATATTTTTTACCCTCAACAAAATAGAATTAAGGTATTATAGGTAGTTCTCTTTATTAAGGAATTCCTGTGTAATTTAAGAGAAAGTTCACAACATTTCTCAGCTAGTAATGTAAAATATGTTTACAACTCAGAGGCATAGCTCATCAGTATAGTTTTGGGTGTAATTTTACTAAATTTTTTCTTTAAATACAAAGTTTTATATTATATGACTGGATACCACATACTTAATATGGACTATGTATATACATACAAATTTATGTGGCTTTCATATATTAATAAAACATTTTTAATATTTTATTACGAATTCTCACAAGAACTAACTTAAGATATATGAACCTAAAGATGAATAGTACGTTTGAGCTAAATATTACGACGTTGTCCTTGTCCTATTTAAGTTGCGCATTAAAATATTATATGAATTTGAATAGGACATACATATATTTTATTTGAATAAAAGACCATAAAATGATATAATTTCTATTCGCAGCTATGACATAATGGTAAAAGAAAAGTTACTTCATCGGTAATCTGATACTTGCTCAGGTTTTAAAAAGAAATGCTGTATTTGTTACTGTTAATATTAGAATACTTTTATTAATAAATAGTAAGGATGGGGCAACAAATGAAATACCAAAACTTACACAGCGTTCTCAAAAAAATAATTTTTCTTGCCAAATTATTCGTACTTATAACTTGTGAAACAATAATATTCACGAATCACATTGTCCAACAGTTGTCCAATCAAAATGTTTTAAAAACTCAAGCATGGCGCGACTTCGCGATATTTCAACTGTCAAATTTAGACAAGTTTTGGACATTTAGGAAGTACGGACATTGACAACTAACAGTTTATCATTTATTTATTTATTTATTTATTGCATTTTAGGAAGATTTACAGTATTTTTAAAAAAAGTTAAATTATGATTACAATAAAATAAAGTCAGTACTAATTACAAATCTCCACCTATAGATAATCCATAAATACCTTAGAGGAGATAGGAGGAATAAAATTAACATTTATGAATTTATAATACTATGAATCAATTAAAGAACTTTAGTAAATAATTATTTTTATAATTCGTGCTTGTCTTTAGAAATTCGACCGTGTCCTCCATGTACGGTTTAGGCACTCGCCCGGTACCGCACAATCCTCCCAAAGGCCGATAACAAATTTAAATTGAATTAAAAATTGCCCTCGAACCGGGAATCGAACCCGGTACCCCTCACCTAGCTGCCACTTAATAAGACCGCTAGCCACACATGCATAGTTGTAATAACAATTCTAAATTAATTATTTTAAATAATATTTTTTTATTTATTTAAAAATCAAATATTTTAAGGAAAAATGTTTTTTTTCTTTAATGCATACTTTTCAAAACTACATGGTCATTCCACTTTAAATATAGTCGTCAAAAAATCTAAATTATAAAAAATAAATAACAACCTATATTGAAAAATCACAGCTTTTTTGACAATTAAAACAAGACTTTGATATTTTTGTGTTTACCTTTTTTCTATTGAAATAGATAAAAATATAACGATTTCATAAGGTTCTTCAAACTATATCGAAATCCCTCCTGGTACACCTATAATTACGTGTCTGTTTATGTGTTTTTAAATTTTATTTTAATATTATAATATTCAAATATATAAAGGTTACAAGAAATCGACAAAATGTTTTTATGATCCTGGAATAAATATAAAAAAGCAATCGCGATGAAGTAATCATTAGGACTCTATCATCGACTATTACGTGTAAAGTATGAAATTTATATATCCAAAGCTATTAAGGAAGCTAAGTTAGAAATACTTTTCTTTACTTATTTTTCTGTTGCAGTTCTGTACCGAAACTTTTATTTAGCCAACTTCTGAAAAGTATAAAATGGCATGGGATTTAACTTTAGGTAAGATTAGTTACGCCACAATAATAATAATAATTTCATATAATCGTGAATTTTACATTTGGTCTTGTTTTTCTAACAATTTCATGTCATCACAAAATTACGAAACGTTGTATTCGCAAAAGAGCGCACGGTGTCCATGATTTTTTTTCTTAGAAAACTTAAAACCTGAAAAGTGAAAACTTTACTATCATCTATGTTAAACAAACTCAAGTCGTTACAAAAACTTAAAACGTTTCATGCTGCTGTTAATATATTTACTTTATATTACTAATCACATTGAAAAATATAATAACCAGTTGTGCTAGGTTTCACGTCTGTTTCATTTTAATTTAAACGTGAAATGAATGTTGTTGGTACTCGTTTCAACTAAAGACATTATTATTGTACGCAAATTTGAAGGGAAACATTATTTAAAAAAAAAATAGTGTTTGTTTTGTATTTTAACGTTTATTCTTAAATAAATTGATAGGCCTATTATTTTTTATTTATTTTTATTTGCCTTCCGACAGGTTGCCTCTTGTTTTTAGAAAAAAACATATTTTAGATTAGTTATCCTATAAATATAGGAATTATGGTGCTAATGTCAATTAAAACAAACCATAATTAATGAAAAATGCTTAATATGTATAAAAAACACATTAAAACAAACATACTCACCCCATACTTTCGACGAGCGTGCGGAACGTAATAGCTGTACAATAACATTTTTTATTGTCTCCCTATTTCCACAAGCACGGAAGGCTTGCCTAATCTCCCTTAGTTACTGTTCTATAATCGTAGAAGATACGTATTTCGTGAAATCATCATAAATAATGCAACGTCCATATAGACGCCGTTTTTTGCGCCCAAATAATATGCACGAGGCATATTTTATGGCGGTAATGAACAATAGTATAGTTATAAGATACAGATTAGATATATATTAACAATTTATTTTTATGGCTATTATTTTTTATTAGATTTTGAATATGTTGTAACTAAAAAGGCCCAACCTCGTATGTGTTTTGGGACAACATTAAATCGCGAAGTTCTACCAACAAAAGGTCCTAATTTGAGTCCATTTATGAGACGCAATGCTGGTGAAATAAGGCCGAATTTAGGCCCTGGAGTCTATGAAAATGACCGTGATGCATTTTACGACTTGACACACAGGGTTTGTACATAGTATTGCTACTATAAACACCCGAAAGGAACTCAATAAACTTAATACAAAATAATTATTTGTACACTTGAAATTAAGAAGACTATTAGGTACCTATATCTATTATATTTTTCAGATTTATAGTAAATTATATTTTGGACCAAAATCGCCACGCTGGAAAGCAAAGCATGAGTATCAACCGCCACTGAAAGAGCCACCTCCTGCTGAGGAAATGCATAAAAACTGTGCACCATTTAATTCAACGTCGAAAAGAAAAGGATTATTCTCAGCAAATGATTATCCAGCGTATTACAAATAACTTACTTATAATATGACAAAAGCCGTAGAACTGTCGATACCTAATATGATTTTATATTGTTTTAGATTGTTTAACCATTATTTAATCAACTAAATAATTTTTTTAGGGCCTGCGATTACTATCCCATATACAAGAAAAAGGAAATGCAATTTTCTTACTGTTTTAGTGGAAAAAAGACATTGAAATGTGCAGTAGAAGTAAGTTCTTTTAATAAGCTATCAAATGTATTATAGTCGGTACTTACAAATGATTATGCACGTTGTTTTAGATTAAATGTGTTCCATATAATTTGGACGCATGCGGAGTATGTGGTTGTTCTTGTTCGGCTCAAGGAGATTATTGGCAGTTTGAAAATCGCATATTTTTATGCAGAAAACATTATGCAAGATTATTTAAACACTGCTTATCCACTTTTCAAGGCGCGAAGTTGGCTCAATTTAAGGTAAATTTGTGTAAAATAAAAATATGTATGGAAGTATGAATGTTCCTAAATATGAATAACAAGTCAAAATCATTATATATTTCAGTCCATTAGAGATTGTTTCTTTGCACACGCTCATAACAGCTGTAAAGCCGCTTTGAAGATAATGAAAATTGAAGAAATTGAGAAAAAGTTAAGAAAAGAAGCATATTTAGATTTATATTTTCCACAACGTCGCTACTGCAACAATTAATAATTGAATGGTTGTATAAATTAATTTATTTTAAATAGTAAATTCGTTATGGAAATCATTACTTATAAAAAAATAAACTCATATTATTTGGACCACAGAAGTTTTAAAAGCCTAAGGAAGAAATAAATTGTATTAAATTATAAATTTCGTTTTTTGAATGAGAATTTGGGGATAAGGTATTAATTAAATCGTTGGCTTATTAGATAGATGGTCAACTACGTGACAGTTGAACCTACGATATAGTAAATGGCAACACTACTGAAATGTAACAATCATCTGACCGATACCAGTAATCTCTTCTGTGGTACATATTTATTTACAATTTATTATTTAGCTTTCTGGAATAATTTCGGTAATATCCGGTATACGTGAAAATGAAACTAGATTCTAATAACAAGATGATAAATGGTGAGGGTGAAACAGAAACGCCAGAGGAAGTGGTAGATCCGCGCCAGAATGCAGAGGATCTTATTGACGAGATATTAGCTGAATTCACTGAGTCTCGAACACCTGATCCCAGGTATGCTGGAATCCCTGAAAATTTACTTAATATGATACAGACCCCAAGACCATCAGCAACTGCTTTTTCCATCAATCAACCTCCAAATACGCGAACTCCAGTAAATTCTTTCTCAGAGAATGCTACACTGGATGATATTGATCCATCGTCAGATCTTGGAACCTCCATTCGAAACAAATGTATGGAACTTGAGGAGATCCTACAAAGCCTTAAATCCCGATTAAATCATGTTGTTCTTGATGAAAATATAATTCTCAGTCCAGATGCAAATTCCATGGAGGCAGAGCTTGAGCATGATTTAGACACTGATTGTCAAGAAGATTTGTCTCTACAAGAATTTCTTGAAATTCTCCATTCCCAAAACAAAGTGGCACACAGTAGTGTATAATAATTCTTTCTATATAATAGTGAAGTTGTGAATTAATTATTATAAAATAATTGTAACTATTGTATAAAATTAATTAAATCTTCAGAGGTGTTTGTCTTAGTTGGACTAATAATATAGCCAACACTGACAGTTTCTTTTAATTGACAGGGTGGGAATGACTCAACGATTTACCATAAATTTATTAATACCATAATGATAAATTTAATACTTCCAAGTTCAAAATGTGTATAAAATATTAGTTGTTTATGTTATTGGTGTAGAAATTGAGTATGTTTATAATAATTACATTGTTTAGGTCCTTATTACATTTCATTTTATTCCAAACAATTCTTGATCTTTACAATAAAAGTATGTTTTACTTGTGGTGCAGTCTCAAAGATTTTATTAAATATCAGAAGTTGAAAATAGTTAAAATTTACAAATAATAACAAAATAAATATTTTTATTCACACACTATAAATCACAATTCAACATTATAAATCACAATTTAGCTTGAACAAAATTTAAATAAATTAGTAAACATAAGAACAGTTTTAACAAAACTCCTTAAATATCAGCAAACATCTCATTTATTTGAGTACTTATTGTCACCTCAGTCAAATCAGCCATTGTGTCATTTTCATACAATTGACTGTCTTCATCTTCATTTATAAAAGTACTTTTCTCATTTTCGCTTTTAATAATAAAATTTACTTTCTTTTTATCAAACATTTCTAAAATATTAATTTTTTTCCTATCATTTAATTCAGTTTTGAATTCTCTCAACCAGTTATTGTAGTATGATGGGTCTGCCAGAACACATTCATTTCTGAAATGCTCTATTGCATTAAATGCTTTATCAAAGTTTGCATCAATATTCCCAAAAATTAATCTCTCTATAACTTGTGACATTTCAAAGCAAAGATCCTTAAATGGTTTTCCTGCTTCTTTCAACATGACAAAATCATTAGTAGGGTCTGTTTCAACATTTTCTACCTTAAAAAGCTTATCCACAATATTCAATTGCATTTTCTGCTTATCATTCTCTAGTCTATGTTCATCAAATGTTGGCTTTACAAGATCAACATCCATAGGCTCAATAATAATTTTCTTAGATTTCACTTCTACTTTATTCAACTGAAACAGGCTTTTAAGTTTTTGAATGGGCTCCTTGGCTCTCTTTTCTATCAAAGGAGGTGTTTTAAAAAGCATCATTATCTCTTCTCTTGGTGGTGGCAATGGTTTGCCTGGATTCATAGCTCTGTAAGCAATGCAATCCATAACATATTGTGCTGAAGGACTCACTGTTTCAGCAATTGGAAATGCCTCAGTATCATCATAGTCTGATTCCTGATATGCCTTAGTAAGATCCATTGCCTGAATTAAATTTTTAAAGGCATTAACCTGTTCATCTGTGCAGGCATATTTCTTTGAATTTGTGGGAGGGAAAGCTATATGTTTTAAGTCTTCTTTATAGCAAATACCTATTAAAGAAAGGCAGATACATTTTGTATCAATCACAGGCATTAACACATACATTTTTGGGGCATTTCCAGTATTATACACTCTTCTTACTAACCCAACTAAGTTTAATTCATGGAGACACTCAGCCAGACATTTTATTGTATATTGTGCTTTTTTGTCTTTCTTAGATCCAAAAAGATATGATAAACCATCACCATTGAGTGTCTGCCATGATATATTACTTGCTTTAGTAAAACCATAAACATTGAGGGATTTAACACCGGAATCATAAAGCATGCTTTTGTCGCATTCTGAAAATGGAATTATCTCCTGGCCATAATAGTATCCCTTTATTACATCTGCTTGTTCACAAATAGATTTATTGTCAGTATTAACAAATACTTTACTTTTCATAATACCTTCAGTTGTGCTTGCAGTGTTTGTGACTGGATCTCTAACACTTTTTAACCAATTTTTCACAACAGGTTCATCCTTAACACGAATATAAGCAGAGACTGGTATTTTAATATTTGGTCCAATACTTAAATCTACATTCCAGGGCATTGCGTTAGTAATTTTCTTTTTATGAAAAAGCAAATACCTCATAATAAATTCAAAACTGGCAGTTGTACCATTTGTTCCTTCAACAAATTTCTTGGCAATATCAATGTCATTGCTTTTGGTTTCAGCATATAAATCTGGGCCAAAAACATCAATTTCAAAGTCATTTTCTTTAACACCAGCCAAGACCTATAATTTATAAATAGTTAGTTTTTTACTTCAAGAAATGATTAAGAAGTATCAATACTATTGATATTTACCTTGTCAATGTCTTCATCGTCAGCATAGGAAGGAGCTTCAAAGTTGGTTATCAATATAATTTGTTTATTCACAAATTTAACACCACTTATTCCATTTTGAAAGTGATTGAATGCAACTATGAGTGCATCAAACCAATTACCTTTGGCCTTGCATGGCTAGAAGACAAGAAAACATATGTATAAAAAAGTATTTTGATGCATTTTTATTAAAAAGTAGGGTAAGATTCAGAGTCGAAACTTAGCACTCTGTTAATTTATTTATGTACACTCCAAAAGGTTTTCATAACATATTTGTGAAGAAGAATAAGTAGGACATACCTTTTCTGGTAGGTCGCGAATCATTTGCCAAGTTGGAGCCTGAAGTTCACGAAACAATTCGATGTATTTAAAATCAGCGCATGACTTTTTTGAGCCCAATAATATTATACCTAGATAATTTTTACCCTGGCTTATAATTTTGCGTTCTATTATTTTGCCGACACATTCTTTAGCACTTTCATAGAAACTTTTTTCACCTTTGTTTTCTGGTTCTGACACATTTCTTCCCATATCTAATATTATTAAAGTACCTTGATCAATTTTAGTAGGCGCCATAATTTTATTAGTTAGAGGCTTAAAAAATTTAAACGTCGTACAATTTACTTTATCAGGTTATAACTTATAAGGTTCATGGAAAACGTCCAAAACGATACAAGGAAAACGAAATACGAATTACGATTTCGTTTTCTATTTACTTTGAAAGTTAAAACATGTTCGAACTTGTTTTTGTTTACTAGTGAGTATGACAACTGACAATTGACAACCCACATCGCAAAATCAACATAGAAACAGACCAATGGAGAGAGAGGCCCTTGGACTTGAGACAAACACTATTTTAGGACAGGCGTGACCCACGAATTTGTATGGGAAAAAAAGAACAATATACAATAAAATGTAAAGGCGGCCATTCACGGGCGATCCATATGGCTTTCGCGCCACGGGCTCAATACTCGACGTCGCGCCGAGCCAAATTCATGCCATTCACGAACGCGCTAGCGAGCCGTTCCATTTGATCATTTTGAGTGTAGGCGTCGATGGCCCGGACGTGTTCATAATGAACTTCGATTCAGAAGATGAGTTTTATTTATCTACCATAGGGATTTGTCTAGTTTTAAAAAAAGAAAGTGGTGTAAGGATTGGTTGCTAAAAAAATCGCAAATCTCACATAAATTTAATGAAGGAGTTGACTTTTTTTTCTAAACTTATAAATAAAATGAATAACAAAGTCACGGTTTGAACTCATTGCGAAAACGATTTATATTAACAATGCGCCACGTGCTTCCCGTCCAACGGCTAAACGCAAACTAAAATCAAAATTGGTGTCTTTGGCTCTCGAGTAACACCATTCACGAACGAGCAAACCGTGGTTTTCCGCATTTACAAGCGCGCCAATTGACTCGGCGCGATGGATTTTCGCGCAGTTGGAATTCCATCGTGCCGAACCAATCCATTTGGACCGACAGTGTTTTCACATTCATGGACGAATTTAGGATCGACAGCGTGTCAAATGGATCGATGGATCGCCCGTGAAGGCTGAGCTCCAGCCTCCATGGGCTCCATTAATTAAACTTAGTAAGAAGAGTTTATACTACTGCAATATTTATGCCTTTATGCCAGCGATTGAACCAATATGTATCCGCCTATCTTTATTCGTGTTGGTTACTGACAACTACAACTCTATGAAACTATTTAGAGATGTAAATAGTATAGCATGCTAGTAAATCATATAATACATGTTGTAAGAACATAGTATCATGATATGCTAGTGACAACACATTTTTAGCAGGTGATTTCGCAACGAATCTATTGCCTACACATAGATATTTGTGTTTCCAATTATCTCTTTGGTTATTGTTTTCACCTTTATAGTCTTGATCTGTGGTTCACTTTTGAGTTTCGACATCATGTTGAAAAGTCAAAACCACCGTCAAGTCATAACACAACAGAATTGTTTTTACTTTGGTCGCACTTCGCAGTTTTTTGAGTGGATATTAAATTATGAATATTGTTTCTAAATAAACATAGAACAAAACTTTAAAATTTAATACAATGAAACATAAATAAAAATGTAGCTAATTATTTCTACTAAATACTTCTTAACTAATAGTTCTATGTATAGTAAAACTGATAATTTTATTTATCCGAGACTTCCAAGGGTAGAAGATGAAGTTTTCATTTCAACACCGTGCTTTTTACTGCTACATTGGGATGAGCATTTGGATTTTCTTTCTGATTACCGGTAAATATCTTTTATTCATAAAACAGTATTCAAGCAATATAAACACGGTCGATATGCGCAACACCAATTTGACCAAACAATTCTATTATTTAATCTTGAATAATATTTAATTAATGAAAATTCAAGTAACTTAAACTCATAATCATTTTTAATTATGTTCCAATACACCAAACGGTCCTAATAAGATATTGTAATAATATATAAAGTAATTTTAAATAAAAATTCTCATACTTGCCTCTAAATATTTCAGTGGTATACAAATACATAACAGTAAATGATGATCCTGTAGCTGTAAAGTTAGAGCACAATGAATACACATTTAAAATTGATACCAAATATAGAAGGATTTTCCATAGGGCATGTAATCCCCCTGAAGATATTGTGAGGGGTTCAGAAGGTATTTATAATTATGCTCCTCCACGCCTGATACACAATTCTTAATCCTGGATATCCCTGCATACTATGTACATTTAAATGGTGTTGATGTAATGCCACAAGATTTTTAACATGGTACATACCAGCATTGCCAGATTTTTTTATTGCCAAGTCGGGATTTTTGAACTTTTTGAGTTAAAAAGCGGGAATCTTTCGTCGAAAGCGGGACATAGTAACTAAAGGTGATATTTTAAATCAGATTTACCCTATCGTTAAATACTTGTCTTCTTAATAAAAAAAGACCAACTAATTAACTCCAAAAAGCGGGAAAAAGCCTGTCCCGCGCGGGGCATTTAATTTTCATTAAAAAATCGGGACGTCCCGCCAAAATCGGGACGTATGGCAACGCTGGTACATACCTACTGGCAGATTATCCTTATCTTAGTTTAGGCTATGCATGTTTTTTATAAGCATAGTTTTATATGTTATGTATGTTAATGGATAATTGTGCTGTTGAAAGTTGTAATGTTTTAAACATTTAACTTATTATAAATGAAACATTTTCAGGTCTGGTAGAAATTGATTCATGGTTATTACAAGGAGTTCTTGTTATAACTAGGCATGGGGATAGAGGTCCACTCACACATCTTAAGGGAGGTGACAAGTTACCATGTGATAATGTGCCAGTTTCAGCATTGCTGCGAAGGTATTTTGAGTGAAAAGAAATGGAAATATGTATATTGTTAATTAAAGCATGAAACATGAAACAATAAAATATATTACCTCTTATTTTTCTACTGATGTGTTAATCAATATAAACCTTATTCAATGGTTTATTTGCAAAACATATAATTTAATGATGTAGTCTGTGAATAGTGCAAAATAGGTCCTATGATAATATTACAGATAAATTTATTATAGTTGTAAAGAAACGACAACCAAAAGTTAATTTAATCTTGTATAAATTTCACATTACTATTTAAATACATTGATGGTACTTCATAGTAACATTAAGTCAGAAGCTATGATCTATATTACAAAATTTATTACAACATCATGGTTTTCGGTTTAGATTAACTTTCGCTCATAGTTCTTAAGTTTTAAATACAAAAATCTATTGTTACCTTTATATATTAAGAATCAAATTTACATATTATTCTACATATTGACTTACTAGCTTTGGGATATGGACACCTATTTACATGTTTACTAAATTGTTTTAAATTAATAAAAAAAAAAACAATTTTCAGTTATGAAGAGTTTGTACTCAACGCAAGTTCATCAGGCCGTGCTTGGTGGGTAGCTGGTCCTGGACCCTTTCATAACTTCCCGTCATTACCTCGCACTGCAACAACTCACTGCGCCCTTGGACAACTGACACCTAAGGGACTCTTGCAAATGATTACTGTGGGTAAGGAATAAATAATCCAATATTTACCATTTTCAATTTCTTTATCATTCATATACTTAATCCATTAACTAAAGAATTAAAAAATTTCATACATCCAATGTTAACATTTAAATGCTTAAAATAAAAAATAAAATAAAATATGTTTATTATGGTACATAAGATACATGTATCACTTATTCCACGTCATTAAATTTGAAGGCATCCCTACTCATCGGCAAAGAAGACAGAGGGTGTAGGCCGAGAGAAAAAGCCGGCGTAAAAAACTCTCGGTACTCTTTTAAAACAGCAAATCATCAAACAACACTTATTTAAAACAAATATCGCAAATTGATTAGAAGTAGCCTGTCTAGCACTAGTCCCAGGCCCTTTTATCAACTAGATAATCGTTGACTTTATAGTAAGCCTTTTTACACAGCTTTTCTTTAATACATTTCTTAAATTTATTGAAAGGCAGTGATAAAAGAGCCTCTGGGATTTTATTAAAGAAGAGTATCCCTTTCCCCAAAAAAGAATTACTAACTTTAGATAGTCTAGTACGGGGAAATTGCAGCCTGCGTTTGTTCCGTGTATTAACATTGTGCGTATGTTCTATTCTAGTAAACTTATCACTATTTTTGTATACATACATAATATTTTCATAAATATATTGCGAGGGAAAGGTAAGTATATTAATTTCCTTGAATTTATCTCTAAGAGATTCCCTACATTTTAAATTATAGATTGCACGAATAGCCCTCTTCTGCAGGATGAAAATAGTTTCGACATCAGCAGCATGACCCCATAATAATAAGCCATAAGTCATTAAGCTATGAAAGTAACTAAAATAAACAAGTCTAGCTGTATCGACATCAGTTAGTGAGCGAATTTTTTTAACCGCGTAGGCTGCAGAACTAAGTCTCTTCGCCAATCCGTTAATATGAGGGGACCACTGAAGTTTTGAATCCATGGTGATTCCGAGAAATACAGTTGTATCATCCAGATTCAATTCCTCACCGTTTATAATTGGTCTAGTATCCATAACCCTTGCATTTTTTGCACAAAATTTAATGCATTTATATGCTTATGTATATTTATATGCTATATTTATATGCTTATGTATACATTTAAAGCTTAAACCTTAAATTGCTTTCTTACGTTAGTAGTTAACTAATTGGGCATAAATATTTATTAATCTTGTATGAATAAATAAAAAATATTGTAACAAAAGAATCAGTATATTCTTTAGTGTTATTTGGGCTATTAATAGAAATTATTATTATAATTCTATTGCGAATCCCTATATGGGTTATGTGTTGTACATATGTAGGTACCTTAGAAAACACTATTGAACACATTCGCTTAATGACTGCTGAGGATGTGACCAACTCTAATGGTTTCTAATTTTTTTTATAGAAACAAAACACTTAATTTTAATACTAATTTATTTACTATTTATCTATATCCTTATACACAATATATACAAATTCAACACAATACAAAATACATACAAATACATTTCTGCACATGTTTCTCTAATCTTTTAGCTATAAACACATTCCAAACCATTTATGCTTTAAATATGCTATATTTCCCCTTACCATTAAATTAACATCGGGTTTTTTTCATATTTTTATGAATAGTGTTAGAACTTGACTTAAATTAGGTTAAGGGTCTGTTTCACAATGTACGGATAAGTTCCCAATTAGCTATTTATTATATATTGGTAGGATAAACCCTATTGTTGCGTTTCACGACTGTCAGATAGCGCTATTCGTCACACAAAGTCCATCATAAGTTATGAGTCCGATGAAGTGTCAAATAGCCCAATTTATCTTCCAAATAATTTATGTGTTGCATAGCTATTTGGTACTTTATCCATACATTGTGAAACAGACCCTTATAGTGTTAATAATTGTTTGAAGAGTAAATGCTGTCTGGTTTTGTATGCAGCCACTGCCACATCAATGCAATTATTCTATAAATAAATAATTGTTTTAAGGAAATTATCAAAGATATATTTTTATAGGTAATATTTTACGTGAGGCATATGGCGAAAAGCTTAGTTTGGACAACATGGAGTTATCTGGGAAGAAAGATGCAGGTAAATATACTTTATTTATATTTTTAATAAAAGTATTTTTTTAGTATTCTTAGATATATTTTTAATAATTAAATAAAAATGAATCGGTGTTGTAAAATGTTGTGTCAAATATGTAGTCTACACGTTAACGTATTATGTGACGAAATTCTCTCTCAGGCGGTATAGCGTATAGTACGCGTTATCGCCGCACATTTCAGTCTCTTCAGGCGTTATCTTGGGGAGGGACGAGGGGTGCCGCAGCAGCACGTGAGGCCCACAGTGTCGCCTTCTGCTTTAGGCACTGTGCCTGCAATGCTCATCATACACTTGCCAAGTTAGTATTTCCAATCGGCAATTTAAAATCTGATAAATTTAAGACACTTGATAATTTTTGATAAGTGTACAACAAGGAATTACTTCTAAATGGATGACGTGTTGCATTTCTGTGCCCGCTAACACGAAACTATTACTGTCTCTAGGAATCGAACCTAGTACTAGTGATTTATAACTAAGCTCCGAAGGTGAATAACATTACTTAGTTTATAAGTATAACGTATGGGTTGAATGAAAAGGTCGCGGACATATGTTCATTATAGTTCCGTGCTAACAGTTTGCATGTTCTGGGATTGATATATTGTCACATTATTTTACAGAAAAATAAGTATGCAAGCAAAAACCAGACTAGAATCTCATCCAAAAATTAAGGAACTAATAAAAAAGCTATCCAAAGTATTATTCGAATCTCAAGAGTATATCGATGCCGATGTCGTACGAGACGCTCTTTTAGCTTATATGTGCCACGACGCACCTCTCCCCTGTTCACAAACAAACAAAAAACTAAATATTGACAAAGAAAGGAAATTTCGTTCGGAAACACTTAGGAATCTTCTAGAAGTTGACATTGATACACTGAACATGGAGTTGGATTATATTAACAATCAACTAGACTTTAATAACGAAATCGGTAGAAAAGCGCGTGACATAATCAAACCATTTGACAGGAATAAGCAACCCCTAGACTTTGACGCTCAAATGGAGAGAGAAAAATTGCTGTACTACCAACAACGCTATCTAGATACAGACTATGACGACGTGGTGATTGTTAAAAAGAATCTAGACGCAGATTTCAATTTCCCGAACGAGCAAGATTTTGACGAAGAATATCGAGAACCGACGGAGTCGACTGAACAATTTTGCGTCAGAAAGGAACATATAATATCGCTTTTTGCGTATTTGGAGTGGAGTTACCGTCAAGATGTGAAAGATGTTAATAACAGACGAAGAAGTTTGCTAATTGCATATGGTTTAATCCATAATATCGTGCAGAATATGATTAGAATGATCTCAGAGAATAAGCCAAAGTTTGTCGTTTATTCTGGACATGATAAGACACTACAAGCGATGATTCTTGCTCTAGGTCTTAATAACTATCAGCATTACAACATACAGTATGCCAGTCGGATGATCTTCGAAGTGTACAGGAGGAAAGATTTGATGGACGAATTTAAGTTTACTAAAAGGAAAGCGGTTGCCCAGGATTTTTACTTCCGCGTGGTGTATAACGGCGAAGATGTTACGGATGAGATTGGGTTCTGCAAAAGTACAATTGTTATGAAGGTAGTGGATCCAATTGATGATAGGCGAACGTATAATACATATCTGTGTCCAATTGAAAGTATTGTTAGGTTTATTCACGATGATTATTTCGCTGGTTTCAATGTTAGTAATTATAAGGACGCGTGTGCTACGTATGGGAAGCGCGTTTAGCAAGTGCAAAGTATGTAAAGTAAGTCGAATTATAGTCATTTTATACCTTATAGTCTAGTCGACAAGTTGAATAAGGTACAAAATAGAGATACTGCTCTTAAAATTATGTGCGATAGCTCTTTGGATCCGGCATGACGTCTAGAAAAATGTGCCAAAAGCGTGTATTAGCACATAAAAAATTGCAAAAGTTTTAAACAATTAAAGATAGAAAAAAATGGCATTTCGTTGTTTGCCAATATTTAATAAACTATTAATATTTCAAAAACAGATTCTGAAAGAGGAAGAAATTTCCAATAAAAAACTCCTAACTCCCGGAACTCTATCTCCATTATTTATAATTTTAATTTAACGCTGAAAAAAGGTCTGCGCGTGACATTTTTAGGATGCGCGCGTGGCGTCAAAAGCGAGTACGGCACATTAATTAATTTATTTAAGGTATTGAATTTTTTTTTAAATTTGAAAAAAATTATGGTGTGTTCTGAACACTATAATTAATTTAGTCCCGTTGGAAATTTTACTTAAAGTTAATTTTTCAACAAGTTAAACAATTGTTAACTAACGAAATTTTCTCGAACTACCGTCTCAATTGTAAGTGGAAAAAAAATGTTTAAATAATGGTCGTAAAAATTTTTCGCTTTGTAGAGCCTTTCTTACATACATACTTAACAAGATCGTGCCATAAAAGTTACAAAAATATTTATACTTTGTTTATAACAATTTTTTTACTTTTCTTAAATATTAATAGTTTATTAAATATTGGCAAAAAACTAAATGCCATTTTTTTTCTTCTTTGATTGTTTATAACTTTTGCAATTTTGTATGTGCTAATATACGCTTTTAGCACATTTTTCTAGACGTCATTCCGGATCCAATGAGCTATCGCACATAATTTTAAGAGCAGTATCTCTATTTTGTACCATTTTCAACGTGTCGACTAGACTATTAGGGTTTTAAAGCATTTAATTATACATAGGAACACGGAGGAATCATTAAATTAGGTTAATGGTAAAAATTTGTTGAATTTCTAACATTTTTGACAGCACTCAAGAATTTCTGATTTTAGTTTGAAGAGTCTTTCAGTTCAGTCTGCAGAAAAAGCATATCAGTTACTTATATAATTCTTATATGTATCAAATTTTCATATTTGACAACCAAGAACGACCGTCGAATTGTCCACTATGTGGAGCTAACTGTTGTATTTTCGAAACAATTCCACTTAGGGTCCTTCAAGAAAAGAGCGTTCCAATTCTGAAAAGGCCTGCAACACACTCGCGAGCCTTCTGGCATTGAGAGTGTCCATGGCCGTCGGTATCACTTAACATTAGGCTTCTTGTCCATTATCCCCTGTTCTAAAAAACAAACAGCGTTGTCACCACAACAAAATGTCGGCTGGGGTGACCTCTCTTTCCGTACAGACTCATCATTTTATTTACAAACGCTAAGTTGTTCCTGAACTGTATCAACTCAATGGTCTCTTTCTGACATATTGTGTTTACGCCGTTATAAAAAGAGACAGAACAGTGACATTGTGAAATGAGATATCAAGAAGGGATTGTTCATAGAAGAATAAAGAGGTATATTGCCATAGCGGAGTAAGATTAGTTTATGGTTTTAATAAACCGTATTTACCTTCTAAATTTGAACTATTTCAATATTTTTTCTTAGATTTTACCTAAATGTACAATTAATTGCTAAAAGTAGTGTACATATCACTTAGTACTTAATGTTAGGAATTTAAGACTGATTTTGTTTAACAATTTACGAATAAGTTTAGCTACATTGTGATAGTACATATTTAATTTATTTTTATTAGCACTACATTTAAAAATACATTCCCTTTTTGACTCCGAAATGGAATGGGAAATGGTTTGTTTTTACATTTATAAGTTATTTGGAGTTTGAAATTTGTAACTAAAAAGTATCCAACAAGAAGGAATGATTGACTTCGCCCTTATCATTTATAAAATATAAATAACACTAAATGCCATATAATGTAACATTCGAATTGTAACAGTAACATAAATGTCTTTCGTTCCACATATTGACACACACTTTCCAACGATTGTAAAGCTGTCATTTTGACATCTCAGAATAAAAAATATATCTGTAAATGTTGATAAGCAAGAGCCATAGAGCATGTCAAATATATTTCTAAATAAACAAAACACAAGAAGTTTTAAGGACCTACAGTAATTTTAACGTCGTTTCGTTGTCGAATATTACTTATGGTTCGAAACAAGTTTCAACTTTAGAAAAAAATTACTGAACATTAATAAAAAAACAATTGACGCTAAGTTGTGCATGAGTTTTCTACTCTATCCATCATTATCTGTAAAACAGAGGTTTTGCAGTCGATAACGAAAATTTGTTAAAATGACTAGGTTCTTAAGGTGACGGGGCGAACACATAGACGCGATTTCGAGATTTTGACAGATGGGAGTCATTAATGGTGAGATTCAGAAACGAGATTTAGCTCTTAATGTGCCATATGTCAAAAACGTATTAGATTTTCGTAACCTCGTTTCTGAATATTCGATCTGTGGCGTCTTCCGTCTCTGTGTCAGTATCAAATAAGATCTCAAAGCAACATGAATTTCCAGCATAAGATTTGTATCGGTATTATGATTATGGAATTCGAATATATAATAATATAATTTTATTTATTTTAAAGGACGAATGATCTCATTAATAATTACATTCCATGTAAATAAACAAAAGTTTAGTAATATTGATATAACTCTGCTATGTATGTATAGAATGTAATACAAAATAGTAGGTACCCCAATTATATTATTTTTTATTTTATTTAATACCAGCAGGTGAAGTTCACATATCAATAAGTTATTATTGTCCTTAATAATTAAAATGTAAATGTAATATAATTAAAATGTAAATGTAATATAATTAAAATGTAAATGTTCAATAAAACAGAATAATCATTTTCGTTATTTTATTTATCCTCTCTATATTGCCACCGGAACTCGATGAAATACGTTTTTTTAATAATTTAGCAGTAACAAAAGAAGCTACTTCAAAAAGAAAACTAAAGTAACTGTATTTCGGCTCATCATCAGATCGACTCCAGATCTTTAAAATACTTAATGAAAACAATTAATAAACCCACTAGACGCCAATAAGATTTTCGAAGATTCTCTTTGAATTCTCTGGGATGCCATTATCAGACCTGGGAAATATTTCTAACTATAAAATAATCATCAAAATCGTTTCATAAACGACGAAGTTATCCGCAAACACACATAAAAAATACATCTGGTCCAATTGAGAAACCTTTTTTTTAAGTCGGTTAAAATAACGGTAGTTGCTACGAGCATATAAATATTATATAAAGAGCATGGGATAGCGGATGTTTTGTATAGGAAATCCTTTTACGACTGGATATTTGACTTTGTCCATAACCTGAAATTTTATAGTCCGGGTCTGCTGGACCTATATTGCTCGTTTGAAGGTACACATCGCCTGACCTGTGATCGCCAACTTGAAATAAAAAAAATAAATGATAAAATCTGTTGCTAAGAAGAAATACTTATAAAGCAAAATGTAGGTTTTGTAAGATACTCGATCAGTCTAACAACTGACTGGCCAGCTTAAAAGCCTCAGTGGCGAGAAGTTACATTATTGTGTCGATTCCTTAGCGGTATAAAAAAACTAAGGCATCATTGTACTGATTTGTAGCTGAAGGTGGTATCGCTAAAGTTTTATTCAATAAAAGTTTCTTTGGAGTATGAAAAAAATCGTCAGTGTATTTAATGAAGTTTAATGTTAGGATACGAATCAGTGATGGTTTATGAATGGCTCACGTGTAGCGTACTTGTGCAGTTACATTCCAATCGTATCAAATAATGTAGAACTAATGTTTGGCCTTGGCATTGACATCGAAAATATTCGATTCGCATTTACGAACGTGCACTTCACGTTTCTAACATGGTGATGCATCGTGGGGCCTAAGACGTCCAGTTTAAATGCAAAGATATTTTTTCAATACAAACTGAGACTACAATAAGTACCTGAACAAGTTATACAAGCTTTTTAATGAGCGCGAGTTCATATTTGGGGCCTATTCATCAGTCTGACTGCTCTTGGATTTTCCCTTTACGTTTAAATTTACTGTAAACACGGCAACGAAGAATCCATTAACTAGAATACAATAAACCACAGTAGTTATATGGCTGAGGGCATAAAGGGCAGACTGATTTTATATCTGGTCTGTTGTCATAAGAATTATAGGAAGGCTAAGGTAGGGCATGGCCCTAAAAAGGTTTGGGCACAGCAAAACATGTCCAATAATATTATTGTCCTTCTCTCTGGTCATCGTGTGTGACTGTGTGTGTGTTCACTTGATTTGTTTTCAATTTCGAGTTATTATTAAGATCAACAAGGTTAAAAAAATTGTTTGACTGAATTATCAACAAAATAACATACTTTTGATACTTTTTGGCAACTCGCAGCTTTTCTAGTAAGATTGCAGCAAACAAACCTGAGGAATTTCCTGGTCTTCGAAAACAAATGGACGCTAGCCAAACTAGAAGCTTCAATAACTTATTTTGATTACATTAAATTTCAGCATATTTTTAAATATCGGCGTCATTTAATTCCCACAGATGTTTTTTTGAAGAACCTACTTCTTAATTTAATCCTACATGCGCTTCATAACCTCTTATGATACACTTCGACACTCCCATTTGTTTTTTTTTCATACATCGACCTTCAATGTCGACCCGAAATAATCTTGTTTGACTGGGAATAGAGAACAAGACGTAGGTCCACGTCGCGTCCACGTAATACTCAATCGTAAATTGTGTTAAATAATAAGGTGTACTAAATATATTTGTATTCTCAGAGATACATCCAGTCGATACGATTTGCCTTGAGAATATTTAATCGGTCATTGTTTGCTGGTACATATTTAACAGGTCTAGAAACTCAATACAGTGAAAAATTCACAAGCGACCCTTGTCCTACGACCTTGAAATATACAAAAT